GAGCTGCAGGGTGACGGGCCTGGGGATGCCTCGCTTGTCCTCCGCAACGTTACGCTGCAGGACTACGGACGCTATGAGTGCGAGGTCACCAATGAGCTGGAGGATGACACCGGCATGGTCAAGCTGGACCTGGAAGGTAACCAGCCCATAAAGGAATACAGAGGCTTTGCCAGAGTAAGACACTGGTTCTCCACTAGGGCAATTTGATCCCCAGGGGGACACTGGCAAGACCTAGAGATGTTTTCAGCTGTTACACTTGAGGGGAGGGGCTTTGCTACTGGCATTTAGTGAATTAAGGCCCGAATGCCCTCCACCTAAAGATGATCTCATCCAAAATGTCAATAGTACCAAGGGGGACAAAGCTTGGGGTAGGGTAGGCTTCAGGCACAGTAAACTCCAGGTGCTCACATCATGTCAGGATTCCTGGAGGCGGGGGTGGGGTGGGGGGATTCTCATCAGGCAGGAACCAAACACTAGTTCAGTGCCCTCATTCCCACCGCAGAAATTACTTTCCTCAGAGCTCCAGCTAAGATCTCAGAGTTGTTCCTCATTGGCCCACCTTGAATCACATGTCTGTGTGTGAGCCAATCACTGTGGATGGGAAAGGGGATGGTCTGATTGGTTGACTCTGGAGGTAGGTGGGATCCTTCTCACTTGGTTTGCTTTTATTACAATCCACCTTAGAAGGGTCTAATGCAACCTGACTTTGTTAAGTAGTGAACAATAGCAGCAACTGCAGCAGAAAGAGGAAGAGAGAGGGAATAAAAACAAAAACAAACAGATAAACCCACTGCCATCCAGTTGATTCAGGCTCGTACTACTATGGGATTTCTAAGGTTGTAAATCTTGAGGGGAGCAGATAGCTTCACCTCTGTCCTGTGGAGCCAGCTGGTAGGTTTGACCTGCCAACCTTGAGGTGAGCAGCCCAGCGCCTCACCCACAGCGCCATCAGGTTCCTGAGCAACAGAAACTCTCCTTTACCCGTGTGTTCTGTGTGCTAGGTACATGTTGAAGAGCTTTTAAGATTTTATTTTTGTTCATTTGGGGGGAGATGTCCAATAGATGGGGGATTGGCTGAGAGCATTCTTTAGCTTGCTAAAGAATGGTGGAATTGGGATTCAAACCCTGTGCTGTCAAGGCTCAAGGTCTTCTCTCTGCTGAGAAAATCCATCTCAAACCCAAGCGTTGCCTCTCAAACACAAGACAGCCAGAGCTGGAGTGAGCTGAGTTGATTGTGACTCTGAGGAGGATCACAGCCCAGGGTCATAAGAAGGGAAGACCAAGTGGAAAGCGAGGAAACCAAGGAGCCTCTGGTGATGCTGGGGACCAAAGGGGTTTTCACCCAGGGCCAGCCTTCCTGGATTTTCTACTCTGGGGGAGTCCACACTCGAGCTCCGTGGGGTCAAGGCTGGACCAGAAGGAAAGATCCAAGGCTGGAGGAACACAGAGAAAAACGTATATGAGTAGATTCTACTAGAGATGGGTTGTGAGAACTGGGTTTTGAAGGTTGAGTAGTTCAACAACAGGACTATTAGATAGACCAGCATTAGCAAACGCCTCCAACAGTGGGAAAGGGTGGACATTATTAAGTCTATTAAATGGTTAGGTTAAGAGAATCCCAAACCTAAGAAAGGGAGCCAGGGGGAATGTGAGCTGGGGCAAGGTGTGGCCAGGTCTGGGGCCAGACCCAAGGATGGAGAATCGCAGGGCCTCTCTGTGCGTCGGGCTCCTCCGTGGTGAGGCCGGTATGGGCAGCTGGGAGCCAGGCTGACCCCCTTCCATCTCCCCCAGGCGTGGTCTTCCCCTACCACCCCCGTGGGGGCCGCTACAAATTGACCTTCGTTGAGGCTCAGCGTGCGTGCGCCGAGCAGGATGGCATTCTGGCCTCGGCGGAGCAGCTGCACGCAGCCTGGCGCGAAGGCCTGGACTGGTGCAATGCGGGCTGGCTCCGCGACGGTTCCGTGCAGTACCCGGTGAGCCAGCCCCGGGAGCCCTGCGGTGGGGCCACGAGTCCCGGAGCCAGTGGCAGCATCTCCGGTGGCGTGCGCAACTACGGCTACCGCCATAACGCCGAGGAGCGATATGATGCCTTCTGTTTCACCTCCAATCTCCCGGGTGCGTAGGTCCTAAAAGGAGGCACCGCCTAGGCATGCCCAGGCCCCGCCCCCTCCGAATGCAAGGCCCCGCCCTCAGCCGACCCGACTTCAAGAGCACCATTGCCCGGCAGTCGAAAGCTGCTGGACACTGAAACTGCCCTGGTTGAAGTCAGGTCCCCTGTAGGTGTGTAAGTCCTAACCCCCGAAGCTGTGGATGCTGAGGTCAGGGGCCCGGGATACAGATGGATGTAGGAGTCCTTAGTCCCCGAGGGTGAGATCGCCTGCTACAAAGGGTCCTGGCTCCAGGATTCTAGGCTCAACCCTGATCGCCTCTCCGCCCCCCGCAGGGCGCGTGTTCTTCCTGAAGCCCTTGCGGCCCGTGCCCTTCAAGGAGGCGGCGCGGGCGTGTGCGGCTCGAGGCGCGGCCGTTGCCAAGGTGGGGCAGCTGTTCGCCGCCTGGAAGATGCAGTTGCTGGACCGCTGCACGGCCGGCTGGCTGGCCGACGGGAGCGCGCGCTACCCTATCGTGAACCCGCGTGCGCGCTGCGGGGGCCGCCGGCCTGGCGTGCGCAGCATGGGCTTCCCAGATGCAGCGCGCCGCCTCTTCGGCGTCTACTGTTACCGCGCGCCTGGCGCGCCAGACCCTGCGCCTGGCGGCTGGGGCTGGGGCTGGGCGGGCGGCGGCGGCTGGGCCGGAGGAGCTCGAGACCCTGCTGCCTGGACCCCGCTGCGCGTCTAGGTCCGGCAGGCGGGGCAACTGGGGCGCCTGGAGGCTGGCCAGCGTCTTGGATCTCCAGGAAGCTACCCATGCCACCTGCAGTTCTTGGAGACTCACTCTGCCCCCTGAAAGTCCCTGGTGACCGAATATGCCTCCTGAGGTCCCCTGGAGACTGACTGTACCCCTTGAAGTCCCCTAAACACTTGATACCCCCCCCCCACATCCCTATTCCCGACTTTCTCCAGGAGAGATGGGCCACGCCCCCCGAGGAATCCTGGAGAGGAACAGGAGAGACCACTTCTCCTGAAGGCTGGCTCGGCCTCCTGAGATCACCTGCAAACAGGCCGGCCCCACAGTCACCTGGAGGCTGGACCCCGGGACCATCTGGGCACTGAACAAGGCATTGCTCCCATCTGGAGAGAAAATGGAAACCTGAGGGTACCCAGGTAGCCACGCCCTCTGCCCGCCAGTGAGCTGGATTGGGTCTCATCTCCTCCAAGCTCCTGAAGACTCAGGAGGAACAGGCTGTGTCTCCAGGTTACCTCACCCGTTCCCAGGAGACTGCCCTGATGAAGACAGATTGTAATGTCGGTCCCCAGCTGGCACTTGGGACCGCCAGCCACCCCTTTTCTTAGGTGTCTCCCTTGAGGGGGAACAAATCTGCCCCACCTGGAAGCTGGCACCCCCTTTCCGGGCTGTCACCAAAGAGATCACCTCCACCCTTGGGGCCACAGGACTCATTAGGCCTGTTACTGTTGCTATGGGGACCAGCCACCCCACTTCCCACTGTCACCAAGGAGACTAGCACAGCCTCTACCTGTCACCTTGAGAGACACTCCCCCCATTGCTGCATGGCTCACACCCATGGAGATAGTACCTCCTCCCCACTGTAACCATGGATACCACACCTATCCCACCTCCCCCTTCCCTCCCTCTAGACCCATAGCTGTACTTCCAGCTATCCTTAACAGGCTCGGTGGCCTTACTCCCCTAGCTGCCCCCAGTGTGACCCAGAATGTTGATCCCTCATTATAACCATGGAAACAGGGTGCCCTTCCCCCAAACTCAACTCCAGCACCTCACACCCCCCCCAAGTTCCTCCCCAGGTGACTTGGACCCACTCACTGTTGCCATGACACCAAACTCTGATGTGTGAGGTAACAAAGACCTGTTCCCCTAGGCTTTCCTGGGAGACAGGGCCCTGTCCCACCAAACTGGAATCCTGAAGGCTGTCAACATGTTCCTCAGGACAGTCGCCTGACTGCTCAGGAACTTCTCCACGGAGGGGCTAAGTGCCAGGGGTATTTCCCACCTGCAGACTGACCCTCAATCTAGGTATCCCTCAGGTGTGCCCCATCCCAGGCAGCTTCTGCAGACAGCACTGGGCCCAGGGGTTACTGGCCACCTTCTTTCTGCACGTTAACTACCTGCCAGACAGCAGCTGTGCATGAGACACCCACCACTCTGTTCCTCACAACACCTGCCAGACGGGCATCGCCATGGTACAGCTGAAGCTAAACAGGCGAGTCCAGCTCCCCCCGCCCCCACTGAGTTATGCAAGAAGAGCCCCTGTTCCCTCCCACTGAACTGAACTCCATATTCCTCTTTAGACTCCACAGGGGGGATGGGATCTCCCTGAACCTGAACTTCTGCTCCAGTTCCAGGATCTAAAGGGTGATCTGGACAATGTGAGCAGGCCCCAGCTGCACTCTCCATTCTGAGAACCACCTTTGGGGGAGACTTCCAGGGAGACCACCCAGCCCGAGGGGGACCCAGTTCTCTGGTCTCTCCAGGAGTCATACTGGGATCCTTCTGGGAAGCCATCCTTTGTGTCACACCCATCTCTGGGAAACCACCTGGCTTTGGGAACCAGGTGGACTTGGGTTCAATTCCTCCTCTTGCTCACCGTGTGACCACGTGACAACGCCTCTCTGCGCCTCATCTCTTCTGCACTGTGGCTCCAGTTTGAGGTCTTGTGAGCGCAAGGCATACGGTGTGGGCTCAATAAACCTTGGTTTCTTTGATGAATGAGAAAAGGGAGCCACCCTTTTAATAAATGCACGTTGGTGGACCAGATGCCTTGTGGTGTGTTTGGTGGTGGCTTGGTGTGGCTGTGGAGCATGTCTCTTCATTCTGAGCCCCCTTCCCCTCCCCACTGCTCTGTCCTCTCCTCTCCCCTATCCTGCCCTCTGCTCTCTCCCTAGAGACCCTCCTCCCCTCAGTGGCTGCCCTTTCTCAGCCCCAAGTCCACAAGCCTCCAGGCACAGAGCAAGTAAGTGGGACGTGTGTGTGAGGAACTTGGGCATTTAAGACATCAGGAAAGCAGTAGGGAAGTATTGTCGTTTCACCAGGAGAATTCTCACCCTCTACTCAGGAGGCCTGGGTTCCAGTTGGAACCTTTCAGACACCCATCCGTCAGTGGAGATTCATCTGTTGCTATGCCACTGAGCAGGCTTCCGTGCACTCCCCGACTAAGGAGAACCAGAGAGAAAAGCGTGGTGATCCAGTTACAAGAATAAGCAAGGAAGGCCATGAGGTTGTGCATTTCCCCTGGAGTCGAGGGTAGGTCTGGGCAGAGGAGCATCAGGACGTTTCTGGGATACGAAGCTAGGAGAGCAAAGGGTGTGATCATTCCCTTTGTTTGCAGAAGAGGGATGATCACATAACATCCTTCTTCAGCACCACGTGCATGCGCTATGACTTCCAGAGACTCCAACCCTCCTCTGAGGCAGGTGGCAGTCCAGTTTCTGTGGTTAGGTTACTTCCAGATCTCCAAGTAGGGGGATGGGAAGGGTTATGGGCTGAATGTATCGCCCAAAAAGGTTATATTGGAGTCCTAACCTCAAGACCTGGTTTGAAAATAGGGTGTTTGCAAGATGTTATCAGTTCGCATAAGGAGAGATTGGTGTAGGGTGGGTCCTACTCCACTAAGAGTGGTGTCCTACCAACTGAAGAGACAGAGGGGAGAGGGCCATGTGATGAAGGAGGGCAGGTGCAGGTTTAGGGCAAGGAGTGCCAGAGCCAACTGGGAAAGAGACACAAACTAGAGCCGCCTCCTTCAGAGCTTCCAGAAGGAATGACAGCCTGCAGCCTGATTTCCAAGCCTCAAAAACAGTGAGCCAGTCAGCGCCTTTCTGTTCTTATAAGCTGCTCAACTGGCTTTTACAACTTGGTTACAACAGCCCCTGAGGACATGGTGGTGCTGCCGTGATGGTGCCAGGTGGGAGACCCAGGTTTGCTCCCCAGTCAATGCACCTCATGGGCAGCCCCTACCATCGTCTACGGAGGTTTGCGCACTGCTGTGATGCTTCACAAGTGTCAGCGGAGCTTCCAGTCTGAGATAGACTAGAGAGAAAAAGGCCTGTCAACCCTCCTTCCAACAGTTAGCCATTGGAAAGCCTAGGCAAAAGAGCAAGGAGATCCCTTTGAGGACCAAGGTGTGCCTGACCCAAGCCATGGTATTTCCAATCGTCTCCTATGCATGTGAAAGTGGGACATGGAGGAAAGGAGGCCACGGAAGAAGGGATGCATTTGAATGATGGCGTGGGTGAAGAAGTTTGAAAGTGTCACAGCCGGCCAGAAGAACAAACAGATGTTTTGAAAGACGTACAGCCAGGGTGCGAATTAGAGGCAAGCACGGCTAGACTTCCTCTCACAGACTTTGGACGTGTTCTCCAGAGAGACCAGTCCCTGGAGAAGGACATGGTACAGTGGAGGGGCGGCGAAAAAGAGGAGACCCTCCACAAGATGGACTGACACCATGGCTGCAGCCATGGGCTCAAACAGGCAGTGTTTCATTCTGTTGTGCAGAGGGTCACTGTGAGTCAAAACCGGCTGGAACAGCAGCAACATGGGTCACAACGGTCCAATCCCAAGTAATCACGGTGATAGGGCCAGGCCGGGCAGTCACTGTGACCTCATGAGTTGGGGCCGACTCAAAGCAACCCTGTCCCGAGTATATCAGAAACACTGCCTGTGTCAGCCTGGGTGGACCCGAGAAACAAATTCATAGACACTCATACGTGTATAAGAAAGAGCTTTCTATACAAGAGCCGTTGAATATCGAGAAAACATCACAGCCCAGTCCAGATCAAGTCCCTCAGTCCGATATTAGCCCATAGATCCAAAAACCAATCGAGAAAGTCCTTCAGACTCATGAAACACATGCAATGATGTCAAATACAGGATGATCACAGGCCAGTGGGTGGGAAGTCTTGTGGATCCAGCGGCGTTGACAGCATCTCAGCACTGGTGGGGGTCTCCATGTGGCTTCCCCAGCTCAAGGCACTGGCATAGTTCCACGTGTCTTGGGGACTGAGCAGAGAGAGTCTCTCCCGCCTCGAAGGAAGAAATCCAGGAATTCCCAGAATCCTCAGGGGAAGGCTCAGGGGAAGGCCATGCTGACACAGAGGCCTCATTGCCTATCACCTGACTGACGGGCTAGACTCCACCCCTTCAGTCTTAATCTCCTCAAATTGACGATTATAGAACTAACACACTGCCCAGTCTGGTACCATCCTCACAACTGTTGCTATATTTGAGCCTGATCTCCAAATTAAGTCCCTCCTAGAGGTGAGTCGACTTACATCCCCAGCACTAATATTTCCCCACATCCTCCCCAGCACAGTACCTTGTCACTTTCTTTCTTTTGTCAAACAGATCAATAAAAAGCACTGACTTGAACATGGTTGCTACTTTCCATTCTTAGCCTATGTGAAGTTGAGTAGCTCCTCCCCGCCACACACACGTCCCACCCACTTTGATCTTAGGAGTAGTTGTGGAGTGAATGTTAAGCCATTTTCAGTGCAGGCATCTCTTCATCATTGATTATGCCAGGTCACTTAAGCTGGATTTGTTTACCCCCTTTTGTTTCTATTCCCCAGTTTAACTTGATGTGCTTTTAAAGATGCGTCTTGTTTTGTGGAGCATATGTTTAGTATAAGAGCCATCTGTATTTCCTATCGATGAACTTGCATGGTTCCTGAATCCAGTTCCTGAATGATGAACCCTTCTCTTACTGATCTGTGGGAGCTTTTTATATAGTAAGGCAACCGATCCTTTGTCTTTGCCTCGAACAATGGTGACCAAAAAGCTTGGCGTTTACCTTTGACCTTGCTGAGGGTATGGTTTGGCTTTCTTTTGCCATTATTCCATTCAGAATAGAACCCAAACTCCTCACAATAGCCTGAATGGCCTGAGTGGTCTATCCCCTGAGTCTGACCTCTCCTATCCCTATGCTCCCTCACTCCCTCTACTCCAGCCACAGAGGCTCCTTGCTATTTTCTCAAATGAGCCATCCAGCTCCCTAATGGCTTCTTTCCCTTCTGCCTAAAACCCATCCTCTCTTCCCTCCTTGTCTAGTTAGCCCTGCTCCTCCAGCCGTGGTTGCCCACCAGCCCCTCCGTGAGGAGTCCGCCCTTGACCACCCTCAGGGCCATGTCTCTCCCATGTACCATGATGTCCCCAGCACAACGTATGGCTCACGGAGCTGCTTGCTACATCCTTGCTCCGTAAGGAAGGAAGATGCCTGGAGGAGACAGGCAAGTTGAACTGTTAAAAAATTTTATTAAAATGTCCAAGAAGTACATTAATGTCCACAGTGCCAGATACCACAGAACCACCGAACACTGCAGCTCACAGCAAAACCAGCAGAACCCAAGGCTATTCACATACACTCACGCACACTCACACGCATGCCACACACACGGCACACGCAAAACACCCACGAGTCCCTAAGTGAAAGATCAAAAGATGACCACCCACTATTGAAAAGACTAGAGCACCCTCCCATTATGGAGTGGTAGGGGAGCAGGGCAAGGGAAACTGGGGGGCAGGAGAGGAAGGGGCAAAAGGCAGGAAGCGTGAACCGAGCCTCCCCACCCCCCCAACAAAAACTGCATCCCAATTCCCTCCAACAAAGAAAAAGTCTCTTGTGACATGGATGATCAAAGATGTGCTGTTATTGTTATTATTAGCTATATTTTTAAACCAAGAAGTATTAACAATGTGAGAAGACAAATGCCACATCCCTGTAGTTTTGAAACTGCAACCAGATGGTGGGCATGTCTGTAGCAGGGAAGACCTTGGTCACAGAGGAGGGTCCAGGCCACGTCTCTCAATCATCTTCTCAGTGGGCCTTGGTGCGTGGAAGTGAAATCACGTTCCAATCCCTTGCCTGATGTAGAGAGTCTGACAGGGGCCCCCATCTCTTCATGTATCAAGTGGGGAGGACAACGGCTCTTAAGTCAGCAGTCTGTTAACGTGACTTAGAGTGAAGTCCATCGTCACGGGTTAAGTCTGTTGCAGCCGCCGACTCATAGTTGTCAGCTAGGATTAGTCTTTCTCAGGAGGGATACAAGCTCAGCCAACACAGCCATTTCTCTACGGAGCCCTTCGAAGCTCATGCCTGGGCTTATTTTTCTCTCTTCTGAGGGCCATACTCCCACTGTGGCTCTCAGCACAAATGTGCCTCAATGGAGAGAGGGCAAAGGGCATGAAGGAAAAACCATGGGGCTTTCTTGAAATCGATGAGGGAGCAGGATCCCGGCCTATGGCAGGGAGAAGCCATGGACAGGAATGTAAGGAGAGTTCTTTCTGACTTAAAAAATAAAAACTTAGAGAGAAGAGCACGTGTGTGTGTGTGTGCATTCAGTTTGGATACTGTGTACCTCTCTACAATATGACACAGGCAGGTGACTCTACTTCAAGTTTAAGCATTTCTAGGCAGCCAGTTAATGGCTGGGTGAAAGGTTGGGATGGAGGTGGGAGCTGGGCCCAGGGCAGAGGCACCACTGCTACAGCTTGAGAGATGGATACGGGGACTGGGCTAGGAAGCTTGGCACCTCCTTGGTCCAGGAAAGAGGTTCTTTGTCTCCCTGAGAGATGGAGGGGGAAGAAATCAGGGTACCTCAAGCCCCAAACATCCTCTCACCTGTGTGGGTGGCTCCCACACAGGCAGAACCACCGCATCTCAGCACTGGACGAGCCGGGAAGGCTGAGCCACACACTTCCCCTCCGTTGCCTAGATATTGCTCTGGTTTTCTGGTCCCGAATTCGGCGGGCACGGAGGGATGGTGTTCTAAAAAAAAATGCCTAAAATTCAGTAAGTGGCGCTGGCACCCTGTGTTTATCCACCAAGACCAAACCCTGAACTTTGGTCCAAGTCCGGGGTGGAGGAAGCACAGCGGTCCATTCTAGCGGTGTGCTTCTGTTTAGCCTTCCACGTCCAAGCCAGGGACCTTGAATAAAGCCTCCCTCCTGGGTTAAGATTGTTTACTGAGTCGGAATCTCTTGGGTGGGGGAGCAAATGCCTTCTTGTGATTTCCACCATACTCTCCTGTACCCTCATCAAAGCCTTATTTTGACACCTGGCCATGGGCCTTGACCGGAGCAAAAACAGCATATTCGGATTGTGCTTCTCTCTCCTGGGAGATGCTCCCAGAGTGCAGACTGGGGACTGACTGTTCAGACATACGGCTATGCCTGCCAAGAGGACCTTGTGTATGTAAGGAGGAGGGGCTGAGGAGTTTTTACACAGGATAATGGGCGGGGTGGGGGGCCAGGGGCCTCAGGACCCTCTTGTTTCTCCCAGGGCTCTGTCTCCCCAGGGGAAGGCTCCAGAGGAGGTATGGGAGCGTGGTTGTGCCGTCGTCTGCCGGGCTTCTCAGCAGAAATTCCCTTCTTCCTTCTCCCAGTCCTCGGCGGGGTGTTTCTTGTGTTTTCTGCGCTCCTTGTGCGGTTTGTGGTGGCGATGCTGGTGGTGGTGCTGGTGGTGGTGGTGGTGGCGCCGCATCCGATGGGCCCGTCTGGCTGTAGGGGTGGGGGGGGCAAGGGCAGGACAAAACGTGGAGAGATGGGGATGGACCGTGGAAGAAAGGCCAGGCCGGCCGGTTCTGTTCTCACCCATATGCCAGGCTGCACTACCAGATCCAGGCGTGGACTCACGAGATGTCTCCACCCCCCAACTACACAGAGCTGTGTATGGGATCGGTTCCCGGCCCAGGTCCCTCGTGTGCGGCCACCACCCAGCTGTCAGTGGAGCCTTGTGTGCTGCTGTGATGCTGAGCTAAGGTTTCAGTGGGCTACGGCGGACCAGGAAGAAAAGGCTGGGGATCTACTTCTGAACATCAGCCAGTGACAGCCCTATGGACCAGCGATCAGATCCACACTGATTGTGCGGATGGCGCAGGACCAGCCAGAGTTGCCTCCCATTGTGCACGGGGGGTGAAAGGAGTTGGGGGTCAACTCGATAGCAGCTGTGTGTAAGTGGCTGGAAATCATGTTGGGAGCCTCTGGGGGGCGGGCGGCGGGGCACTTACGTTTGGTGCAGACGATCTGGGGCCTATCCCACTTGCCGTTGCCCCGGCACCGGATGGTAGCCACGTGGTGTTGGGCAAACCCTTCATCGCACTGGTAGCGGACAGTGGCGTGGACATTGTACTTGGCCTTGTGAGCGCCGACGAGTGAGGCGTTCTCTACTACTGGAGGGGGGCCACACAGCACTGGGGACAGAGGGGCATCCCGTCAGGGCCGGGGCCCTGTAAGGGGCTCAGCTACGTCCTTGTTCCAATGGGAATGACATACCCAGCAGGTCTTCTCTCGTCCGGCCTTGACCTCAGAGGCCAAGCAGTGACTGGACCTGGCTCCTCCACCCACAGAGGAGCTCCAGGGACCAGAACCACAGGTGCCAGCCACAGGACGGGACGGGAATGGCCGTCCGAGGAGGGAGACAAACAGCTGCTATCAAGTGAACTCCAGGAAAGGTGGGTTTTCAGGGCTGAGTTTGGGGGAAGTAGATCACCAGGCCTTTCTTGCTGGATACCTCTGGGTGGACTCAGAACCTTCAACTTTTCGGTCAGCAGCCGAGCCCATGCCCCCCAAAGAAGAAAAGTAATGCGTGCTGCAAGGAAAGGGAAGCCCGGCTGAATAAGAAAGCCCAAGAGGTGAAGCCGAGCTTGTGTACCAGTGATTTTGTCTTAAGAGCTTGTCCAGGTCAAGAACAAAGAACACCAACCACCTGGTGGAAAGGCAGGCAAAGGGGCTGTGCTGGCCGGTTAGGGGGAGAGAAAGAAGCCCCTGCGGCTTATCAGTCAACACATCGACACTCATTGTCAGTAACATCGTGGTGCCGTTTCTTGCCAGTCAGGTGGACAGAGGTCAAACGTGGGAGAAGGCACAAGTAAAGGCAGGTGGCAGAGGTACACCCAGAGGTCGTGTCATCCCCACTCTGCTGGGCCCTCTCTGACACTCACACAAAAGGCAGTGAGCTTGGGTGTGGAGAGGAAAGGGCAGGTGCCCGGACGGGCAGGGGGATGTACCTGTGCCTTTCTTACAGACGTAGGGGAGGTTGTAGTTGCAGGGCACGTCGTTCCAGCGCCCGCTCTCATGTGCCACCATCACCACACAGTCCTCCCCGCCCGCGAAGAAATTATCCGGCTGGTTCTCCCTCCAGTTCTCATATTGCTGCAGGAATGGGGGTGGGAGGGTTAATGGTGCTCAGGGGACCTAGTCCTGGCCCTGCTGCTTTGGGAACCCCTGGCCGGCCCACTGACATCCTCAAGAACTCAGCGTTTCCATCTCTAAAGTGGGCACCGTTTTGCCTACCACACAGTCTGAGCCACTGTGCTCCACGCCACTGCTGTCTGAGCCACGGTGCTCCACGCCACTGCTGTCTGAGCCATATGATCCAATCCGCTGCAGTCCAAGCCACCCTTCCTCTGGCTGGGGGTATATATGGCCCTCCTCACTGGTCCTCCTGCCTCCCTGCCTGATCTCCCCACCAATCCCAACAGCCCTTTCCCACACAGGTCACTGTTAGCTAAGTAGTGGGGCACTTGGTATGTGCCTGGCCCATGGACTAAAGGTGGCTGAGGCCTGGAGGAAGGCCAGGAGGGCTTCTCTGAGGTGGTCACGGGTGACTTGAGGACACAGGCAGGGCACAGAAGTCCAAGCCAAGGGGACGGCGCGTGCAAAGGAGCAGAGGCAGGGCTGAGTCTTTCTGAGGAACCCAAAGGGGGCGCATGGGGCTCAATTCAAGTTGGGGTGTGGCTGGCGAGTGGGCCGGGGTCAGGTCATGTGGTCAAGACGAGGAGGTGGGCTTTAATCTTGAGGCAATGAAGAGTCCGAAGAGGCAGGGAAGGATCCTGCCGGCCAGCAGGAGACAAGAGGCCAATGAGGAGTCACGCGCGGGGTCCAAGGAAGCAGGAATGGTGGTCACACGTGTGTGTGTGTGTGTGTGTGTGTGTGTGTGTGTGTGTGTGTGACCACAGCCGGGGAGGGAGTCCTAGGTTTGTGGTCTCAGCAACTGAGAAGGTTGGGGCTGGCTATGGGGCTGGGGACCTCAGGGCTAAAACAAGATGAGGGCATTTCTGCGTCCCCTCAGCCACCCGAGCCTCACAGAAACGGCACGACCTTTGAGGTCCACCTCTAGTTGTTTTGCCCAGGAGGGTAAATGGAGGCCCAGATGGCTCAGACTAGATCCCTCCATTCTGGATGGTGTCCTCCTCGTCTGCAGCCTACAGGCAAGGACCCCCCAGCCAAGGCTTCAGCCCCTCACCAGCCCCGAGTTGTCCGTCCACTGGAAGTCCCTCTCCACGATCCTGTCGTTCAGGCCAATCCACGTGTTTTCATGTCCAAAGCCTGTGGGTGGGTGGGGGGTGGTATGAAGACTTAGGACCCTGGCTCCTCTCCGAGACTGTGGGCCTGAGGGGGCGGGAGGCCTGGACAAAGGTGAGGGAGGGGCAGGGATGAAGTGGGGGGTCCTTTCCCCTAGCTTCAAGAGTGGGCTGGAGGCGGCGTGGGAAGGTCAGGAGGACTGGGAACCCCAAGCTCCTCCTTCAGCCTTTGAGATGGTGTGGATGAGGTGGGCTAAAGGAGAGCCCCTAAGACCCTTCTCTAGCCTTGGGGGTAAACTGGCTACTGTGTCCTCCCTTCTACCCTGTCCATGCAGGTGAGGACTGTCCGCCCTCCCACCTGTGGAGAGGTGCGTCACCGAGGGCTGGAACCAAGGTCCCAACCCTGCCAAGATTTGTGGATTCAACACATGGGCCGAGGAAGGAATACTTCCTCTCCTTGTAGAAATGAGAGGTGAGGGGCCTGGGAGCCCCCAGGCCAGTGGCTGCTGGGGGTCGGCGTGCGATGAGTGAGTGAGGATTGCATCTGATGGCACGGAGGAGACACTGACAAGGGAATCGGGAGCGGACAACTGAGGGAAGGAACAGGGACAGGGTGGGGCCGCCTGCATGAACAGGAGGATGTGCCTCAGCAGAAGGATCGGGAGTAAATCAATAGAGGCTGCATGGCCTGACTGGGACACTGCTCTCTCTCGGGGTCTGGGCGGAGCCCCGTCAGCAAAGATGTTCCTCAACCCCCCTCTCTATCCCTGTGCCCTGTTTTCGATGTGGTGGGACATTGAGGCTGAGTTAACCCTACACCACACATTTCTGTAATCAGATCGTGGCTAGGCGGTCTCTACCTTCCACCCGAAATCATTCCTTAAGGACAAGTCGGTGTCCCCAGGGCCTGGCATGTAGCAGGCCCCCAGCCAGTCAACGATGAATGCATACGTGAATAAACAGAGGTGTGAATGAATAAGTGGACAGGTGCTTGGACTCATGACTACAGTTTGGTGTCTTTGGGTCCCCTAGGGGATCCCGGTAAAGGGCCGTGGGTGCCGCCCCTGCCCACCGGACTGATGAAAGCCCCTACTGTTGATGAAGCTGTGCTCCTCAGGGGAGTGGATGCTGGTCAGGTGGCCGGCTCGGCGGCGGCAGTCCCTCTCCGCGTCCTCCCATGCCCGCCGATGGGCAAAGTAGCGGTAGCAGAAGCCCTGGAACTTGTGCCAGCCTCGGTCACAGCCTTCCGTGTCTGGAGGGGGGGTAGAGAGGGAGGGGACCGCCATGACCACGCAATGCAGTCAGACCAGATCGTGTGGGGCTAGATCACCCCTCTATCTCCTGAGCCTCACCCACTATCTCCTGAGGACTCCCCAGCCTTTTACTGCCACTTTCCCTTATGGACTTCTGCTCTTTGCTGTTGGGGAGATTCAACGTGCGCCCATTCCTTCTGGCCCCAATGTTGACAGTTCTTTCTCTGATCTTTCAAACCAAACTGGCCCCCCCCCCTCTGTGATGCCCGAGGAACCCCATTTCCTGGAGCCCCAGGAAACAGTCTCAGTAAGGCCTTACATTTCTTTTTTGGCAAAGAGCTTCGAGAACTAGTTCTCTAAAGAAGATGCACAAATGGCCAACAGGTTCCCAGCAAGGTGCTCGCATGATCAGTCACCAATAACCGAACCAAACTCACCGCCACTGTGTCAATGTCAACACGCACTGACCCTAGGGGGCAGGGGGGAACTGCCCGAGGTGAGTTTCCAAGACTGTACATTTTGACATGAGCAGGGTGGAGGAGCTTTCTCCCTCGGAGCAACTGGTGGTTTGGAACTGCTGATCTTGTGGTTGGCAGGCCCATTTGTAACCACCAAGGCTTCTCCCCTCAGTCTCCAGGGAGATGCAAACCCAAACCAGGATGAAGTATACTTCCCACTCACTGGGATGGCCATCATCATCATCATCATCATCATGCTGTTGTTAGCTGCCACGGTGGAGTCAGCACTGGCTCACAGGGATGGTCCGTCTACAGGACGAAACCTTGCCCGCTCCTGCACTATCCTTATGATCAGTAGGGCGTTTGAATCCACTGTGTGGCTACTGTGACAATTCATGTCGTAGAGGAGTTCCCTCAATATTAACGGCGGAAACCAACAAGGGTTTGTGGGGGATCCTGGAGAAGCAGGCCTCACCCACGGCTGGAGGGCGTGCTGTAAAAAGCACCAGGCACTGTAGCAAACTGCCCGGTGATTCCTCAAACCATCAAACACAGAATTAACTGTGTGACCCAGCAATTCCACTCCTGAGCCCGAGCCTGAATGCATGCAGCCCAAGGACTCAGACCCCTGGACATGAGCCCTCATTGCAGCACCGTCCACAGGAACCGCAAGGGCGGAAACCACCCAGCTGTTCCTCAGCAGGAGAATGGATGGAATAGTATTCACCCCAGAGCAGGAACAAAGTACCAGTCAATGCTACATTTTAACAGGGGGGGGGGGGCGGCGATTTGGAGAGGATAATAAAGGTTGTGCAAGGGGAAGTCTAATCAATGACATTAAATGATACATGTATCAGGTGTTGAAGTGGTGAATGTTTCCTTGTGTGTAATTTTGCCAAAATGGAAAAAAAAAACATGAATAACAATGAGTAAAAAAACAAACCAACAATGAGTATGGGGGGGAAAGAAAATGTTCTCAAATTGATTGTGGTAAAGATTGTGCAACTTTTTTTGATATGGCTGAACTATTAAATTGGTAAGTGGACGAAGTGCCAATAACACTGGTTAAAAAAAGAGAAAAGAAAAAAATAAAACAGGACCCCGAGTGAAAGGAGCCAGACCCCTCAAGCCACACAATGAATAGTATCTGATGTGGAAAGATTCAGAGCAGGGACCCAGGCAGACAGAAGCGGGCTAGTGGTGGCCAGGGAGGAGGGGAGGAGGGTTAGGGTGTCCCTACTGCTGGGTGCAGGGTCTTCAGAAAATCTCTGCAGCAAGATAGAGTGGGTGGCAGTTGCTCCTCGCTGCAGATGCGCTGATGGCCCCTGACCTGTGCGCTTCAAGTCGGTTAGCTCTGGGTTCGGTGAACCTTCCCTCCTGTCTGGCTCACAGCCTGAGGCGGGGACAAGGAGCCTTGGGGGAAGTCTGTGGGCCGGCATCCAACCCCACTCCTGGGGCTACTGCAGTCTCCTCCTTGGGGGAGACTCACCTTTCTCACAGAAGCTGCCCCCGTAGCTGGGGAGGCACAGGCAGCCAAAGCCGTTGACCTCGTCAATGCAGGTGCCTCCGTTCGCGCAGGGGCTGCAGGCGCAGTCGTCGATGTCTGGAGGGAGAAAGGGCCAGGTCAGGAGTCAGCATCTCCCCCCCACCCCCCACCCCTGTCCAGCTCTAATCCCCCCTGGGAATCAGGTGGAAGAGGGGCCGTGATCAGACCATGCATCCTGGGTAGGAGGCCTTGGTCTACCCAGATGGCCCGACGGCTCTGTTTGCCAAGGGGTAGAGCCTGACATAATTCACCTGGAGGGACATTAATGAGAGAAGATGCCAGGGGGCCAGATGAGGGCTAGAATGTTAGCCCTGCAGAACGTTCCGCTTGACGCCAACGTCATAAAGGTTATCCGTTTGGCTTTGTTTTTTGCACACCGGCCCAGAGAAGGCTCAGCTGGAGGGCCTTTGAACAGACAGGAAGCTGGGTTCCAGCCTCGTGCTGAGTCCCAAAGCCGTGTACTACATACATGGAGAGTTAGTTGCTCCGTGGCGCTCCTTTCCCTTTCGCTACCAACCCCTTTCTAGGTAGCATTTGAGGCATGCTTGACACCAGGCACGTCCCAGCCTGGTCCTCAAGTTTCCTTCTTTGCCAAATTGTGGTGAAACTAACATGCCCCTCTTGAGCAGTGGTTCTCAACCTGCCTCATGCCAGGACCCTTTCAGACAGTTCCTCATGTGGTGGGGACCCCCAACCAGAACATGATTTTTGTTGCTACTTCATCACTGTCATTTTGCTGCTGTTATGAATCGGGCAACCCCTGCGAAAGGGTCATTTGGCCCCCAAAGGGGTCACAACCCACAGGTTGAGAACCGCTGCTCTTGAGGGATGTTGTAAGTGGCAAGTCAATCAATACCTAGAGCCCCCAACATTCTAACAGCTCCCGGATGAGCGTCATACTATAATTAGCAGCATGGTTGTAAAGGGAGAGTCAACGAGGAAATGGATCGTTTACATTTATCGGTTCAATTCTATAAATAGTGGTTCCTCAGTTGGGCTCTGAGATGAGCTTCCAAGAATTCTGGTGGTGGTACTGACACCCCTCCTCCCCCAGAAACGGGATGGGGAGGGAGGGCTGGAGTCACATCATCCCTTTCTTTCCCTCTTCAATCTCTGCCCAGGAGTCACGCGAGGCAGCACGCCAGCGTCACTGGCCCCCCAGGACGAAAGTTCCGCTGTGGCGAATCGTTTAGTTCTGGTTCTCACTGTGGCGGATTCAGCTGGATTCAAGGAGCGGAGGAGGGGAGAGGGACATCTGAAGCTAGTGTTTTGTGATCCGCTGAGTCCTGGAGGCAATGGCTGCTGGGACCTATAGCCCAGGGCTCTGGAGTCAAACAACTTCAGGATCAAATCCTAGGTCAGGGTACTCACCAATCTCACAGTTCTCCCCAGCGAAGCCCTGGTCACAGCGGCAGCCGTACATGGTACCGTTGGCGGTACAGGTCCCCCCATGCAGGCACGGGTTGTTCTCACACGGATCAGAGGGCTCTGTGGGATAGATGGGCAGAGTTGGGGGAGAGTCAAACCAGCAACTCAGTTGTTTCTCAGAAGCCAGACCACAGGTCCCTGAGCATCTCTTTGTGGGGGTCCTCAGCAGACAGCCACCAACTTCTCTTGCATACTCCTTGTGATGGGGAGCTCACTCCTTCCAGGACCTCTCCCCAAAGCACCTGTGGGTTGCCTTGCTTACAGCAGAGTCCTGTCCTTGCACTGAAGAGACCAGGGCTTCCTCAAGCGTCTCTTAGGAGGTCTTCTAGAACATGGGCCTATGGTCCTCCTTGGCTTGTACCCTTCTGCTAGACGTCCCCAGCTGGTGACTGAACACCTCACACGCTAGTGCCCAGAAATAAACACTAGGGTCTAGGTGTGGTGTGAACAGCTTGGGAGCGTGGGAACTGCCAGCTCCTTTCTTCATTCTAGTGTCTCAACCCTTTTTTTTTTTTTTTTGCAGGAGGGAGGGTGGTGGTGGCAATCTTCGTGTGTACGGTGCTGAGAGATGGTGGCTTAGACTGGTTAAAAGCATGACCTGCAGAGTCAGCAGAGTCGGGTCGAAGTCCTGGGGGGCCCTGGGCAAGTCATTTAACTTCTCTGAATTCCAGTTGCCTCATCTGTAAAAGGGGGAGATGATACCTCCTAGCCTTCTCTCGAAGTCCTAACCTCACTGCCATGTCCAGATCTGTCCCTGCCAGCCTGTGGCTTCTTGGAGGTTGGGGGTGGGGGGAGGCTCAGCATGGACTGGGCACCCAAGAGGCATCAAATAATGTGGATTCCCCTTTCACCCCTAGCTGGGTTTTCCTGGAGTTAGGTGGGTCCCTTCACCCACCTCAGCAGCCCAGAAGCTGCTGGGTGATCGCTACCCACTTGTAGAAGACCCTTCCCTAGAACCTGAGAGAAAGAGCAAGCACCCCCATCTAGTCTGGCTGACCTCCTCACATTGCACAGACCCTAAAACCAAGGCTCAGGGGAGGGGAGGGTCCCTTAGGACAGTGCCTGGTTCAAAACCATACAGGGCAAGGGGCAAGAATGGCCCTGTGACCCCAAGGCTCCTGCTAAAGGCTCTTCCTCCAGTCTCAGTGTCTTATAATCTGCCTGTTTTGCCTTGGGCCTCACGAGAGTCGAGGCCAGAACAAGCCGACACCTCTTTTCTGGTCTCCTGGCTCCTGCCCTGGCCCTTGGCAGTCTCTCCCTTGAATGGCTGCCACGGCAGAGTCTGTGAACACCACTCAAGCCATAGAGAACCTAGAACTCTCTAAGGCTCCCCAGTGCTTAGGGGGGAGGTGGGGGGGGAGTCATTCCCTGTTGTAATGCACAAACCCCCAAACCAAACACACTGCCACTGAGGCCATTCTGACTCCTAACGACCCTCTAGGACCAAGGAGAACCACCCCTGTGGGTTTCCAAGGCTGTCAATCTTTATGGGAGCCGAAAGCCTCATCTTTCGCCAGCAGAGCAGCTAGTGGGTTCAAACCGCTGACCTTGTAGTTAGTAGCCCAAAGCTTTGCCCATTAAGCCACCAGAGCTCCCATGGTAGCCCACATGGTCCTGTCTAATTTCTGATGACATCACCACCACCGCCGCCCCCCCTTCTTCCTCCTCTTCCTCTCTTTCCCCCTTGTCTGCTCTACGACACTAACCCCCTCACTATCCCTCCAACGCCCTTATTACTTCCTGCGGCAGGGCCTTTGCACATGCTTACTGCTTGATTTTTCTCTATAGAGTTTCCGTCTTTTCCTAACATGTCACCCAAGGAGCCCTCGTGGATTAGGCTTTGGGCTGTTAACTGCAAGGTCAATAGCAATAGTTTCAACCCATTAGCGATCTCCCAGGAGAAAGATTCAGTTTGGTGAGCCGGTTAAGAGTTAAAGCTTGGAAACCCACAGGGGCAGTTCTACTCAGGCCTGGAGGCTCGCCATGAGCAGGAATCGACTTGATGGCCGTGATCTTGGGGTTTGGGGAACGTCTAACATCCTTCACACATTTATTAGGATTTCTTGTCTGTTTCCTCCTACAAACCAAGCTCACTGTCATCAAGCCGATGCTGACTCGCTCAGAGTGACCCAACAGGACAGGGTAGAACTTCCCTGTGAGTCTCTGAGACTGTAACTCTTTATGGCAGTAGAAAGCCCTGTCTTTCTCCCGAGGAGCGGCTGGTGGTTTCGAACTGCTGACCTTGCAGCTAGCAACCCAACTTGTAACCACTATGCCGCCAGGGCTCCTATCAGGTAGACACAAATCAAATGCAGCTATTTATCTTTATTTTAATTTTTTCATGGGGTAAAAGCAATTCTTCGGCTACGCTAGCCACAGTCCACGTGCCCAGTAGCCACCAGTGGCTGTAGCTACATCATTAGCACAGATGAGGGCATTCCCGTCATTGCAGAAAGTTCTAGAATGTCAGTCTCCAGAAGCCAAAGGTTTGGGTCTCAACACCAGATCCGGGACCCAGCCCCCACCCCATATTATTTGCTAACGGATTGAATGTTGCAGGGTGGCTGATGCCTGTCCCTAGAGTGGTGGCTGGAGGGACTGTGTGTCTGTGTGGTGGCCACATCACGTGTGCGCGCATGCATGAGGCTTTGGGACTGTGGGGCCACGTGAGCCCCACCAGGTGCCCCGTGCTGCTGACACCTGCCCACGGACTGGCGGTGACTCAGTCGCTCGCGGGCGCTGCATTTATTTTTGGCTTCATTAGCATTTCTGCTGCAAGCAGCGGGTGGGTGGTGACTGGGTGTCCCCCCAGTGTCGCCTGCCTCCCTCCGCCTTGGCTTCAGCCTCAGCCAGAATCCAGAAAAGGCGAGGACAGACCCAGCCCTGGCAACAGGGCTGCTCAAAACATGGTTTCCTAGGCTCCTCCAGGCCTGATCTCCTTCCACCCCTCTATCCACTTGTGGGACCCTCCAAGGATGGGCCTCCCCACCACCCGCCTCTTCCTGGCCCCTCCTTGAGTCTGCTCATCCATTCCCAGAGTGCCAGCCTAGGGACTGCGACCCAAATGTCGCTAACACACTCTGCGCCTCAACTTCCCCCTCTGTAAAACGGGAGTCACAGTCAAACCATTCCACAGGGCTTGATCCGCGAGCGGCACACTGTTGTGAGGTGCCATCGAGCTGCCCCTGACGAATGGTCCCCCATGCACAAGAGACAAAATACTGCCCGAGCCCACCCCAAGCCCGGCTGGGCTGTGAGTCATAGGCTGATGTTTGGAAGTCTGGGTCCACGCCTTTTGTCCCAGCCTGGCTGGAAGCTCTGCTGAAAACTGTGCCCCATCATAGCTACATGCAAGCCTCCCCTACTGGATGGGCAGGCAGTGAAGCTGAACTGAGCTAGTTCTCCAGACCCGGCAGGTGCGACCTCTAGCCCAGAAAAGCCACTGCTTCGCTACAAAGACTCGGAGGAAAAGCCCAAGAATGATACATTGAAGGATCCTGTCAAGGGCCAAGAATCCGCCAGACACACACTGAAACCAACTAGGCTTATGCATCCTTCCACCAGTCTCTGGCCATTGATGGAAAGAGGGACCCACCAGACACCAGCCCGGGAGAGCCAGAGAGGGTGAGAGAAGTCCACCCCCATTACTTCCATCATGGCCATGTTTCGCCTTCCAATGAAGGGGCAAGTTAAAAACCAATTGTGTTAAGAGTGAAAGCACTCAGGGAAGCTTAGAAAAGGAGCTTTTTTAATTAGCTTCATTTCTTTAAAAGCTCACTTGACCAAAAAAAACCCCCAACCCACTCAATACGGTAGGATCTAAAACAAGGGCTGGAGTTGTGCAGACTGAGCTGGGAGCAGACCGTCATCCGGGACATTCTCTGGACACTCCTGACAGCAAAGAGACACCAGACAGGGGCTCTAGCCACTGACGAGCCCTGGCTGCAATGATCCTCCCTGTAGCTCCATTTGCTTGTCTGTAAAATGGGGGTCATGTGCACAACTCTCGCAGGCCTGCAGTCTTTGCACTGTGGTTCCTGGCCTCCAGGATCCCCATTCTCACTCCTGGGCCCCTCCCAGGCTCTAGCTCTGGCTCCCCAAGGCTGGGAGTCTTCAAGGGACAGTGCCCAGCACTGTGGGGCTCAGAGTGGACCCTGTCATGGTTACTTGTGGAAAGTCTAGGCTAAAACTCAACCTCTTTACTAACTACCTCATCAGTCCCACACAGTGCTTGGGGACCCACTCCTGAGCTCCAGACTCGGAACAGCATCACTTCCTGGCCTTTACCCAAGCTGGCCCTTCTACCAAAGCAAACTCACAGCCAATTCTGACTCCCACCCACCCTACAGGACAGGGTGGAAGCAGTTCTGCAGGTTTCTGAGACTGTAACTCTACAGCAGAAGGAAGCCTTTCCTACTCCCTTGGATAGCTGGGGGTGGGTGGGTGTTCGAACTGCTGACCTTGCAGTGATCAGCCCAAAGTATAACCCACTATGCCACCAGGAACCCCATGCCCTCTGCCAGATATACTTATGCTCCAATGAGCTCCCACCTCCAAAGTCCCAGGTCCCCCAGAAAGCCCGACCTCCCTGCCCTGGCTCCTCTAGACCCTTAAGCCCTGACCGCTAAGGACTGGACTGACTCACCTTCCTCCATGCTCCCCTTGGTAGGGATCCCTGGCAGGGCCAGCTCCTCTCCGCTCGCTGCCTCCTCCCAGAGACCTTCCACACCCGGGCCCCCAGCCATGAGCTCCAGACTCGACTCCTCGGGGCCCAGGGAGATGGGCAGCAGGGTGCCACGGGGCTCCCATGGCGCGGCAGGCTCCCCAGAGGACACAGAGGCTGCTTCGCCCACGCTGGCTGCGGTCGGCGTCCCCGGGGGGCTGCCCTCCCATGGAGGAGTGGACGCCTCCTGTATCCGAGTGGACCCCTCTAGTATCTCCGTCTGGTTCTCCGGCTCAGGGTGGGGTTGGGAGCTTGGCGAGGCCAGTGTGGACGTGGTCAGGCCGCCAAGCTTGTCCTCTAGGTCCAGCGATGTGAGTGAGGTCACCACTCTTGTATCCACAGTCACTGGCGGGGTCAGGGCCAAGCTTTCGGCTCCCTCCGCCATGTGGGATCCAGATCCCCCAAGTCCACTAGCGTCCACTGGGTCCCCTGTCCCTGTGGGATCGGTGGGTTCCTCTATGCTGTCCCCGTCCTCAGCTGCCTGAGGCTTCAAACTTGGGTTTCCTGCACTCTCAAATGGGGGTAATCCAGGCACCAAGGAGATTTCAGGGCTCCCTGAAGGTGCAGCGGCCGGCTGGTCGAAGGTGCCAAGCTCAGACCCCAGGATGTCTCCAGCTTCCATAGGCTTAGCGAGGTTCTCAGAGAGGGTGAAGGCAGCTGCCACATTCTCACCCATGGGAACCCCTGGACTGGGGCTGGGGGGCTGAGGAGGGCTGGTCACCCTAATCTCTCTGGCAACAGTGATGGTAGGGTTAGGGAGGGCACTGGTTCCTGGTTCTGAGGCTTCCTGGGAAGGGGCTGGTAAGTTGCCTGCTCTGGGGCCAATGAGAATCAGTGATGTGGCTTCTCTGCTCTGACTTGGGGCACCCAATGAGGGAGGCGGCAGAGACGCCCCCAAGTCACTGAGGCCGGGGGGGCTGGCTGCCATTTCTGGCACGGGGACAAGTAGAGAAGCACTTAGAACGTCCCCCTGCTCTTTGGCCCCATGGTCCTCAACGGGGACTGGTGTTGGGGATCCCGGAAGCCACAGTTTGGGGGCACGCAGCATAGCCATGATAGGGAGGTCCAGCGAGGTCGCTTTGGGGGAGGCATCCGGAGGGTCAGTGCTGAGCCCAAGAGCCAGGGTAGCGGTCTCGGAGGTAGGCCAGGGCTGGGTGGAGGCTGCTGGCTTCCCCTGGGGACCTTCATCTTCCTGAAGCTCCCCATCAGGGGCTCTGCTGGGCCCTGGGGTGCTGGGCGGGACTGTGGTGGGAAGCCACCGCCAGGGCTCCGTGGAACCTCTGTCACCAGGGGGATCTGAAACGACACCCAGAAAAGTAACAATCACGATCTGAGGGCAGGTCCTCCTGTGAGCCTCCCCGAGGATGAGGGATTCAGAGGCCACCTCCCCGTCTTCGGCTTCATTTAGTAGCCTAGCCACGCCTTCCCACCCGCAGACCCCGGGAGGGTCTCCTGGGCCCAACTCACAGGCTCCAGGCCCATCGACTTCATTGGTCAGGATGTCCCAAGGGCTAGGGTCAGCGGAGGCCATCGCAGCTCCCGGGGTGGCTCCCCTGGTGGCTCCTGTGACCAGGGAAGGCTCCACTTGATTCCCAGTGGCCTCCGGGGTTGGGGACAGGGCACTGGCCTCCAGCCCCATCTCCAGCCCTTGCTCAGGATCCTGCTGCTGGAAGTGGCGTCCGTTCAGCCCTTTGAAGTGTCCCCTCTTCCTGGGTGTGGGGCTGGCCAGGGGGACCGCTGTGTGATTTCCTGTCACAGAGCCCTCTTCACTGCTGAGATAGGGGGCCACTGTGCTCAGCCACGCCTCGTCAGCTTCTAGGGAGGACTCAGTGGTCCAGGCCAGAGTGGGGCCCCTAGAGACAGTGCTGGGGGTCTCTTGGGCCTCCTGTTTCTCAGTCAAGAGCAGGGGCTCTTCCTCCCCACTGGATACCAGGGGCTCCTGGAAGTCAGGAGTGACCTCCTCCCCAAGGCCTGGCTCTAGGTCTTTGGCCAGGGGTCCCTCTGCTGAGAGAATCTCCCCCTCATCCCCAGATGAGGGGGTCTCTGCGTCTCTGTGTTGTGGCGTAGGGTGGTGGGCTGTAGGAGGAAGAAGAGGCTGCGTTAGACCCGGGAATCAGTAGAAAGTTCTACTTGAAGTCTATTCACAATCCAGACTGCTGCATCTCTGAGTCTCTGACAGGGGTCTCTGGGAGCCCCCAGCCTCAGAAAGCACAAAAAACTATCACTCCACTGTTCAGGCTGGGGTCCAACTGAGTCCCCTGTCAAGGTGATATATGGTGAGGGGCAGGGGTAAAAGAGAGTGCCAGCTCTCAGGGGTGTGTGGCAGCCTATGGAAGGTTGGCCTACAATCTGGGCCATGGCTTTGCCCTCTCTCCATTTTTAGGGTGTGGCCCTCACCGGCTGGGGTGCTTACAGCGGTGACATGGCTACTGGGAGCTGAATTTTGCAACTTCAAAGGCTGTGGCCCCACCTCAACAGCTGGGATGGCCCCTGGTTGCCCAAGGTTTTGTAAGGGGTGTGGACATCTTGGTCCCCCCAAGGCTTGGCCCCCACCAAGCTCTCAGGGGCATGACCATCCAAGAGGCATGTCCAATGGGTGTGGGCAGTAGCGGGTAGCCCCTTCATGGGGCTTGGATTCTAAAAAGGGGTGTGACATCTGGGTCTCAAGTTTGAGAAATTAAGACCCTTGTGGGGCAGGGTATCCATTGGCGTGGCCACTATCCGGGAGTGTAGCATGTGGCATCAAGGCTTTGAGGGTGGCACCATTTGGGGCCATGGCCCTCGTGGGCCTGTCCATCCAGATCACAGCCACATAAGGAGCATGACCTCAGAGAAGGGGTACTAAGGATAGGCCATTCATGGGCTCTGGAGTTTTCAAAAAGGCTAGACACCACTAGGCAGAATTATGAGGAGTAGCAATATACTGAGCTTCTCATTTTCAGGGCTTGTCCTGTGGGGCATTCTAGAGAGCAGAGACTCAGGGAAACGGCCAGCAGGGGAGGCCTGCTCCCTGGGGGCGTGGCTAAGAAGGGTAGTTCTCCTCCCTTGGGGTGAGGCTGTGGGGCCTCTTTTTAATGGTTTATGTCCTTTTGGGAAGGGGCCCTGGGAGCCCAGTGGTTCCGTGCTTGGCTACTTAACCAAAGGGTGGTTGATCCAAACCCACCAACGGCACACCGAGAGAGCGATGAGACAGTCTTTCCATTCAGATTGATGTATGGATTATTATAAAAGCTGTAAGCGCCCCCAATAAAAATGATTTTTTTAAAAAAGGGGGAAAAAGGATCTGTTGTCATTTGGCACTGTGGACTAGGTTCCGACTCCGAAAGGTCCTATGTGCCGCAGAACGAAACACTGTCTGGCCCTGTGCCACCGCACGAGGGAGGCGCTGTTTGAGCCCATTGTCGCAGCCACTGTGCACTTCCCCTCATCAGGGGGTTTCCTCTTTACCACTGCTGGCCGGATCCTGGACCAAGCCTGGCGTCTTTCTCCAGGGACATCCTGGTGACACCCGAGACAGTCTCAGCCTTCTCGATTCTAGCGAACATTCGTCCAAGGCAGACTTGGTCGCTTCTACTGCCAGGTCAGGGTAGATTCAACACCCTCCACCCGTCCCTTAATTCAAAGGCATCCGACCTCCTGTCTTCCTGATTCGTTGTCATA